CCGCCATGCGCCCGATGTGTCCAGATGATGTGATCAGATCTCCAGTCTTCATGGTTTCTGTGGCGATAATCCAGCGCTTCCTCTTCCCTCCTGCGACCAGAGCGATGTCCGCTGACCTGCAGAGGAGACGGCCCATAATGAGGACCTGTCATGTACTGAGGGGGAGGAGTCAGCTCCTAGGGTCCCTTACCTGCAGGGATCATAGCGCACCTCCATCACCTTCTCCTGGAACGGCGTATTCTCACGCCCGGGTTCAAAATTCAGCCTCTGGAAGTCAATCATCCGGAAAAGCTGTTTGTGGCCCCCGCCGACTCCATGTGTGCGGATCCGTCCTGAGAAAAGGGGGGCCATGTCAGTATTTCTCCTCCCCGAGACCAATCAGAGCAGCTCTTATCGAGTCCCCCTATATAACCCCTCCCACTCTCTGCAGGAGTCCCCCCTCCTGCCTGTATACTATTGTTACCCCAGAATTCTGCCCACCCCCCCCCCCCCCACCATTCCCGGGGCGACTGTTACTCACCAACTGCCTCACCTATTGGAAGAGTGACTACATAACCCCTCCCACCAGGTACATCCCCCTATGTAACCCCCTCCCACCAGGTACATCCCCCTATGTAACCCCTCCCACCAGGAACATCCCCCTACGTAACCCCCTCCCACCAGGTACATCCCCCTACGTAAACCCCTCCCACCAGGTACATCCCCCTACGTAACCCCTCCCACCAGGTACATCCCCCTACGTAACCCCTCCCCCACTATGTAACCCCTCCCACCAGGTACATCCCCCTACGTAACCCCTCCCACCAGGTACATCCCCCTATGTAACCCCTCCCACCAGGTACATCCCCCCCACGTAACCCCTCCCACCAGGTACATCCCCCTACGTAACCCCTCCCACCAGGTACAGCCCCCTACGTAACCCCCCCACCCCACCCTACGGTAGCCCCGGGGCACTGTTACCCTACACTGCCCCCTATTGGAACATCCCCCTAGTAACCCTACATAACCCCTAACCCCCACCAGGTACATCCCCCTACGTAACCCCTCCCACCAGGTACATCCCCCTACGTAATCCCTCCCACCAGGTACATCCCCCTACAAGGTACATCCCCCTATGTCCCCTCCCTATGTAACCCCTCCCACCAGGTACATCCCCCTACGTACCCCTCCCAACCAGGTACATCCCCCTACGTAGTCCCCCCTCCTGCCACCAGGTTACATCCCCCTACGTAACCCGACTGCCCACCAGGTACATCCCCCTACGTAACCCCTCCCACCAGGTACATCCCCCTACGTAACCCCTCCCACCAGGTACATCCCCCTACGTAACCCCTCCCACCAGGTACATCCCCCTACGTAACCCCTCCCACCAGGTACATCCCCCCCTACGTAACCCCTCCCACCAGGTACATCCCCCTACGTAACCCCTCCCACCAGGTACATCCCCCTACGTAACCCCTCCCACCAGGTACATCCCCCTACGTAACCCCTCCCACCAGGTACATCCCCCTACGTAACCCCTCCCACCAGGTACATCCCCCTACGTAATCCCCCTACCCCTCCCACCAGGAACATCCCCCTACGTCCCACCAGGAACACCCCTAACCCCACCAGGAACATCCCCCCCCTACGTAACCTCCCACTCCCACCTACCAGGAACATCCCCCTACTGGTATACGTAACTCCCGCCCTCCCACCAGGAACATCCCCCCTACGTAAACCCCTCCACCAGGAACATCCCCCTACGTACCCTAACCCCTCCCACCAGGAACATCCCCCTACGTAATCCCCCCCTCCCACTCCCTGCAGGAGTCCCCCATGTAACCTCTCCCACACCCCCTATGTAACCCCTCCCACCAGGTACAGCCCACTGTATAACCCCTCCCACCAGGTACATCCCCCTATGTAACCCCTCCCACTCCCTGCAGGAACATCCCCCTATGTAAGCCCTCTCACTCCCTGCAGGAGTTCCCCTATATAACCCCTCCCACCAGGTACATCCCCTATATAACCCCTCCCACCATACTTACTACCATTACATCCCCTATTGGAAGAGTGACACATAACCCCTCCCACCAGGAACATCCCCCGATATAACCCCACCCACCAGGTACATCCCCCTATATAACCCCTCCCACCAGGTACATCCCCCTATATAACCCCTCCCCACCAGGAACATACAGACTATCCTTCTTCCTATGTGGGGGGGGGAGGGGGGGGGGGAAACGACATACAGACTATCCTTCTTCCTTTGTGAGGGGGGGGGGGGGGGGGGGGGGGATGGGGGAAGACAACAAGGACACGCAGACTATCCTTCTTCCTATGTGGGGGGGGGAGACATGCAGACTATCCTTCTTCCTATGTGGGGGGGGGGAGGGGGGGAGGGGAGACAACGACGACATGCAGACTATCCTTCTTCCTTGTGGGGGGGGGAGACATGCAGGATCCTTCTTCCTATGGGGGGGGGGGGGGGGGGGGGGGGGGAGGGGAGACAACACCAGGACATGCAGACTATCCTTCTTCCTATGTGGGGGGGGGGGGGGGGGGGGAACGAAACGACGACATGCAGACTATCCTTCTTCCTATGTGGGGGGGGGGGGGAGGGGGACGACATGAGACTATCCTGCTTCCATGTGGGGGGGGGGGGGGGGGAAACGACATCAGACTATCCTTCTCCTTATGTGGGGGGGGGGGGGGGGGGGGGGGAGGACAACAACGACGACATGCAGACTATCCTGCTCCCTATGTGTGGGGGGGGGGGGGGGAGACAACGACAATGACATGCAGACTATCCTTCCTCCTATGTGGGGGGGGGGGGGGGGGGGAACGACATGCAGACATCCTGCTCCCTATGGGGGGGGGGGGAGACAACGACGACAGCAGACTATCCTCTCCTATGTGGGGGGGGGGGGGGGGGGTAACATGCAGACTATCCTTCCTATGTGGGGGGGGGGGGGGGGGGGGAAATGACATGCAGAGTATCCTTCCTCCTATGTTTGTCTGAGACAATCAGACTATCCTTCTCCTGGCCGGGGGGTTGGACGCTTTGATGACTTCTCGGCGCGGCTTCCATACTCTCCCCTGAGGTGCCATCATCCTCGCTGACTTCAGCATCCCAGTCAATGTTCCCACCTCGGCCACGTCTCCATACTCCACCAATCTCCTCCATGAACCGAACACAATGGACCCCATCCACCCCAACGGGAACACCCTCACCTCTGCACTCCCTGTACCTCTCCATCACCCCTCTTCCTCTCTCTGGTCACAACTATATCAGCGTCCCGCGACTCCCGCCTACCCCGCCACACCCCGCGACTCCCGCCTCCCGCGACTCCCGCCTCCCGCGACTCACCCGCCTCCCGCCACCCGCGACTCCCGCGCGACTCCTGCAAGCAAACCGTTAGCTGTAGAAAGCTCCACCACCTCAGCCCTGATCTTCTCCACTCTGCTACTGAGCGCCTCTATGATAAAACTGTGCCCCTGTCCTGCCCAGACCCGGCCACATCTGCCTCCAACAACCATATCCATCATCCTCCCTGGACACTCTCGCTCCTCTCTCCACCCAGAACCCGACCTCGCCTGTCACAACCCCGGCAAACAGCTGACACCAGAACCTCAGGAGACACGTCTGCACTGCAAGACTTCACAAATCTGCTCTTCTCAAATACAACTCCGGCCTCCACGCTGCAAAACAACTCCGGCCTCCACGCTGCAAAACAACTCCGGCCTCCACGCTGCGAAAACAAACTCCACGCTGCCAAACCGGCCTCCACGCTGCAAAACAACTCCGGCCTCCACGCTGCGAAAACAACTCCGGCCTCCACGCTGCAAAACAACTCCGGCCTCCACGCTGCAAAACAACTCCGGCCTCCACCCACAAACATTCCACGAACCTACCCGACTAATACTCACCAACGATCCTACTAACTGCAAAACCAACGGCCATTGCTCCGTACTCACCTGACCAACGGCCATTGCTCCGTACTAACAACTGACCAACGGCCATTGCTCCGTACCACCCTGACCAACGGCCATTGCTCCGAACCCTGACCAACGGCCATTGTACTCCGTACTCACCCTGACCAACGGCCATTGCTCCGTACTCACCCTGACCAACGGCCAAATTTGCTCCGTACTCACACCTGACCAACGGCCATTGCTCCGTTACTCACCCTGACCAACGGCCATTGCTCCGTACTCACCCTGACCAACGGCCATTGCTCCGTACCTCACCCTGACCAACGGCCATTGCTCCGTACTCACCCTGACCAACGGCCATTGCTCCGTACTCAACCAACGGCCAATACTCCGTACTCCTCCAAACAGCCATTGCTCCGTACTCATACTCCTTGACCTTTCCGCTGCCTCCTCAGTACACTCCATCGGCCTCCATGACTCTGCTCTCTCCTGGTTCTCCTCTCAACTTTCTCAGCGCACTTTCAGTGTCACATACAAACTCCTCCGCTCCACTTCCTCTTCCTGTTGGGGTCCCCCGAGGTTCTGTCCTCAGGCCCCTCCTTTTCTCTCTCTATACCTCCTCCCTGGGTATTGATGAGGGGATTGACTGGGGGGATGTATTGATGGGGGGGGGGGGTGGGACGCATTTATTGAGGGGGGGGGGGGGGGGACGTATTTGATGGGGGGGGGACGGGGACGTATTGATGGGGGGGGGGGGGGGATGGGAGTATTGATGGGGGGGGGGATGTATTGATGGGGGGGGGTACGTATTGATGTTTTTGGGGGGGGGGACGTATTGATGGGGAGGGACGTATTGATGGGGATGGGGACGTATTGATGGGGAGGGACGTATTGATGGGGGGGGGGGATGTATTGATGGGGGGGGGATGTATTGATGGGGGGGGGATGTATTGATGGGGAGGGATGTATTGATGAGGAGGGATGTATTGATGGGGGGGGATGTATTGATGGGGTGTAGGGGGGGGGGGATGTATTGATGGGGAGGGATGTATTGGGAGTATTGTTTGGGGGGGAGTATTGAT